TGAATCTTGAATCTTGAATCTTGAATCAGAAGGTACCACACCTTCAGATAAGGATTTTTGAAACAGTAATGTTAAGGGTCGGCAAATAATATCCCTCATCTCTTTTAACACTATAGGTAAGATGCCATCAGGGCCCTGTGATTTATTTATTTTGAGCTTAGCTAGGCTTTGCAAAACATCAGCATCAGTTATATATATATCAGTTATAGACGATGTTGAATTAGTAATAAGAACTGGTAACTGGTTACTGTTTTGATAAATATGCTTAGATGTGTTTAGTACAGTATATGCTCTTCTTGTTTTATCCGGTTCATTTTGTGTTTAAATGCTAAAAAGAAAACATATTTAGGTGTAATTTTTTGGGGCCGGGAGCTAATTAATTGGTTTTCCATTATTATTCAATCACAACTCAAACTTTTTAGGATTCGTTCCGGAGTTCTGAACAAATTAAATTCGAGTTCTGAGGTACCACTGTAGATATATTCAAGGTGGGGTCAGCATCAACATACACACCAAGGTCTTTCTCATAATCAGCTACCTTTATTTCAGTGAGACCCATAAGTGGAACCCATAATATCTGTACTGCGCACACCAAACTGTGAATTTGGTGTACTATTACACCCCTATTCCTGGGTATTATTTTTTTTTGAATATCAAATTCATGTCGTGGACCGAAAAGAACTGTGCCTGATGTAGCCTGTGGACCTTAAGTTTAATATATGTGTTCTAGCCGTTTAACAAGATATCAGCAACATTTTGGATAATTTTTTGAAGTTAGCATTTATTGTTACTGTTAATTTGCATATATTCTAATGTTGTCTTTTTTTGGGCATACCCTTAGTACTTAGATACATTTAGAAACAATTTATTTATCAGCCTAACACTTCTGTATGGTGTTAATTTTGTGCCAAAAGTATTAATCAACCGCAAGCAAATTATTAAGCATCAGAATGAATATCAAAAAAGTCTAATAAATGTTTTTTTCCTTCTTCTCTAATTTGTTTTGCTTCTCAAATGTTTTTCTTTGCTTTTGATTTTTTATTTTTTTTTGCGTCTGGAATGTTTTTCTCTGCTTTTGAATTTTTTATTTTTTTTTGCTTTTCGAATGCTTTTTTGCTTCTTGCATTTGGCACTGTTTTAACGGGTGAGTGGGCCTGAGCAGCTCACACATCTATTGGTCAGCTGGAATTTGGAGTGAACATGCCATCTGAGCATGCCCACTCCATGACGCTTCAGAACATCGCAACATGGCAGGAAGCTCCGGAGCCAACAAATATATAGATGAAGTCTTCTAACATTTTGTTCAGAATTTAAATGCGTTTGCCTTACTTTATTTAATTTTTGTAAGGCCTATTCCTTTGACATTGGGTTCATAGGATAAGCAGAGGGGATAGGCTTGTTATTCATCCATCCATTTTTCCCCTATGCTTGTTATATTATAAAAAAACTAATTTTTACTATAGTACTACAGAGGACAGCTTATTATCTCTAACAATAATGAAGCCTTTATTGATACCACTTTTCTTGAGGGGGCACAAGTAACCTAGAAACTCAGTTACTACCTAAGTACAAATCAAAAACAAATATTGCAGCTGCATGAAATATAGGAACCATTATGACTGATTAATGATGAATGAACATGGGATCCGTATGTAACTAACACTTAGGTTTTAGTTAATGAATACATTAAATAAGAGTGTACTACTGCATTATTTGTGCCCCCTCAAGTAAAGGGTTACCACTTCATAATCAATTTTAAAAAGGACTATAAATTAAAGTACACTGAAATATCTGTTAACATATAAAAAATGAAAAAACACTCATATATACTCACAGTAACAGTGGCAAGAAGTCCCTCTGGAACATAGGCTACAACAATGGCCATGAAGAAGATCATGGCCTCCAGGAAGGCGTAACCAATGAACATGGCCACCACAAAGAAAGTGAAGCCAAAGAAGATGGCCAGCCCAGCAATAATGTCCACAAAGTGTTCAATTTCAATGGCTATTGGGGTTTTCTCATTCCCCACCCCAGAAGCGAGACTGGCAATGCGGCCGATAATTGTGCGGTCACCTGTATTGATGACAATGCCTGTGGCCACTCCTGAAAAGGGAGATAGTCCCATGTGAAATTATTGAAATTTATGTGATTACAGTACAGTACAATGATTCAGTTTTTCTGTCACTTATTGTAGTTTGTAAACTTACAAACACAGTTTACCCTTTGTTGGTGTGGTGTGAACATGTGAACATCCTGTGAATATAGTAACTGACCCTCAAGGCAGGTTGTAGAGAAGAAGGCAATGTTACGTGTCTCCAAAGGGTTCTCATGGGTGCACTCAGGAGTCCTGTTCTGTGGTTCAGACTCCCCTGTAAGAGAAGAATTGTCTACCTATGGCGAGAGTTACAATATTTATCAGCTGAAAAGTCAGAAGGTAAAAACAAAGTATTTGTCTGGTAACAGTAGTACCAGAACTCAATATTTCTCACAATGCTTTGCCAATATTTATGTCAAATTGTATTATTCTGTTGGACTGAATCAACACTTTATTGGATGATTACCTTACAACTCTGAGCTGTGATGATGCGGACGTCAGCCGGCACACGGTCTCCACCCTTAATCTCCACCAAATCACCCACTACCAACATGTTGGCATTGATCTGGTTCTTCTGCCCATTCCTGATTACTATAGCTTGCTGTGAAAAGGAGTACACAGTTTTGATCAATATTGTCTAAAAGTTTAATGCCATATACATTAGCAGTTTTACATTATTTTTATCCCTACCTGTGGTACCAAATTTTTGAAGCTGGCAATTATATTGGTGCTCTTGAACTCCTGGTAATAGCCAAAACATCCCGTCACAACCACCACAGCAATCAGAGTGATTGCCAGGTACAGCTGGAAATAAAACAGAAAAAGATGTATGGACAATGCAAATATAAACTTAATATTATTATGACAGCACTATACTGGCAGAATTAGTGGGTAAAATGATGGATATTTTCCCAGTCTTGGTAACATTACAGAGAGCATATGCATTATTTAATCCCGGTTATCAAAATAGGCCCTCCGTGACTCCTCCCTTCCCAGTTTGTCCCTTATGTCCTTTTAGGTTCTAATTCTCACATTGTCATCACTGGACAGGTCTCCCTTGGCATACTCAATGCCAAAGGCTATGAAGCAGATGACAGCTGCCACCCACATCAGGCACTGTAGCCCTCCCGCCAGCTGCCGGGCAAATTTCACATATTCAGGGGTGCCCTTGGGAGGCTTTAACTCATTTGGTCCATCCCTTTCCAGGATTTGTTGTGCAAAGGTGGTGGTCAGACCCTATGGTATGTGGAGACCAAGAAGGAAGAAAAAAAAATATGACTACAGAGCAAATGAGTATATAAGCAGCAGACACATCAATGGGGGAAGAAGCTAACCAAATATCCAGTACAGTATTCCAGTCAGTCTGGAATGTATCCCAGGAAGCAGGGACACACCCATAAAGGGCTATTTAGAGACTCTAATTCACTGAATTGCATGTCTTTAGCTTGTGAGGAAATACAAGTGTTTAAAGCAAACCAAGAGGACATGCAAGCTCTTCACTCATAGAATCAGGAACAGGATTCTACCACCCAACGCTAGAAATATGAGGCCATAATACTTCCCATTAAGATACCATACTGCCCATTAAAATGCATTCTGCATTCACATTAGAAAAAGCAATGGTCAAACAGTCCTGTTACCTTTGTAACACTAGTTGTGTATTTCATTTCAAGTTCCTCTATGGTAATCTCATGGTCATCCTGTAAGGACACACACTTTTAACAGACATGCTCATTTCATTTCAGTTTCATTTGATGTTTATCAATTTTTGTTTCCAATGAAAATCTTCAAAACAATGCTTTCAGACATTATTTTCCCAATGATACACTTTTTCTGAGACTACATGGCCTTGTCTTTATAATACATACAATGTCCATTTCCCTTTTCATGTTCTCCAGCCTCTCCTTTTTTCCTTTTTTCTTTCTCTTGATCTGGACCTCCATCTCCCCATCCACCTTTTCCATCTCTACAAACATATTGTAGGAGTCCTAGAAAGAGGAAGAGTGAAACATAGAAAGCAGCATGGCATGTTTGAGGGTATCTGCATATTGTAGGAGTCCTGGAAAGAGGAAGAGTGAAACATAGAAAGCAGCATGGCATGTTTGAGGGTATCCTTCAGAACTTCAAGGACATAGTACTCAATACCATATTGTTATCTTATACTAGACAAAGGAATATTTTGATAAAGAATAAGCATGTAGCGGGAGACATCTGAAGCAGACATAGTGGACGTAATCACATGTGCAGCATGCAGCAAGAACCAAAACACATTGCATTACCACTATAGAGGTTTACCGTAGTTAAATCCTGTGCTGTACAGTATATTTAATAATAATAATCAATACTTTATTGATCCCTGTGGGGAAATTATCTTTACGCCTCCCTCAACTTGCTCTTTGAGTTTGAGTTTATTATTATTATCATATGTACAGAGTACAGTGTACAAAGCACAATGAAATTCTTACTTGAGTACCATCTCTACAGATAAAACATATAAGACTTCAGACAAAACATAGAAGGCATATAGTGCATATGACATAAAGTGTCAGTGCCATGTAAATGCTATGAGGAGCAAAGTATGAGGAGACAAAATTTGTATTGCCAGGAGAAAAAGAGAGAAAAAAAGCCTCTCTTGTTACTGGGTGTTGAACAGTCTTACAGCACTAGGGTAAAAACTGTTCCTGAATCGTGCTGTGCATGTATATATTGTCCTGATTCTCCTGCCAGATGGCAGAAAAGTGAAAAATGGCAGTGCAGGGTGACTACAGCATCTCCTCTGACGTAGATGAGGGAATGACTTGTTTGTTTTGTTTATATTGTCTTGTTTTTGCTGCTACTTTTGCAGCCAGTGCATAATTTAATAACTGCTCTTTGTGGAGTAAGCTGTCCACGAAGGGCAGCCACCTGTTGGGGCACCTGGGGAGCTGGGGGTTAAGGGCCTTGAACGGGCAACCTTGTGATTACAGGCACACAGGCTTAGTCCACTGAGCCACACACTGCCCCTCTATTTGACCTCTCCCCTGTAATTTATATACGTCTAGATTGACTTATGGTCTCAGAAAGAAACCTGGACACGAGTCAATAGATACCTGTATGTGTGTGTGTGTATATATATACAACAAGTTCATGTGTGTAAAGGCAGATGTCCAAATACTTTTGGCAATATGGTGTGTGTGTGTGTGTGTGTAAAACAACCAAAAAAAAACACTTAACTAAGTCAAGAGAATTTAATTAACTGAAACTCCCTGTCTCAGAATACCGAAGTCTTAGACCTCAGTCCCAAACATTCTATCAATCCATCTTCAAGCTATTTATCCAGTATAGGGTCAGTGACAGGCTGGAATTTATCGCAGGTGATACAGAGCACAAGACTAGGTTAGAGCCTGAATGGGCTGCTAATCCCTGTTAAGACTGACATTCATACATACTTACATCATATGGGCAACACAGATACATCAGTTTGCCTTAATATGTGTTTAGGGACTGCAGGAGTAAACAAGAGTAGCTATAGAAAACCCACACAATACCAGCAGAACATGAAAACTTCCTGGGTACACGGTTAAAATACCTAACCCAGGAAGTGTTACCTACTGTATCTCCCCATACACATAAAAACAATAATAAAATACCAACTAAAGAACTAAGAGGGGATGGGGAACATAAAACATAAATGTATTTATGTAGCAATGAGAAGGAAAGAAAATCTTAGAGAAATTATTAGTATTCGTGTATCACTTGACCGAATAACTTGTGACGTCCCAGTCTTGTTTCTGTCCTTTTGTTCTCAGTAGAAGTTTTATCTATAGTGTCCATTCTCAAGAAATTAATAAGCACCACAAAAAAATTATGCTGGCAAAATAATCGGTTAATTTTGTTCATCACTAGATTATATGGATGTATCCAAATAAAATAGTATTACAACCTAATAAATGGAAACTTTTATTTAATCCATCTTCTGATACCTTTATGACAGCTTTCCCCTTATGAACCCATTACAATTTACTTGCACATTGCAAGTATCCACTCCACAAACTGTTGGCATTTTTCTTATCTAAGTATCTGCTGAACGTTTTTCAGTGTCCTTCTGAATACCATATATATTGATATTTGCAAGGCCTCTCAGGCCTACTGTGTTTTCTAATCTTCGGTTGCTTAGTTTGCTTTGGTTCTTTGAAGTGGATTCTATGAAAACAATTGTTTTTTATTCATGGTGAAATGCTTAGTGGAAATTATATAAAGCTGCAGAGTAATGTCAAGATTATTATTATTATTATTTGTGGTACATGCAAATTTAAAGAATTTATAAATATACATAGAAAATGAGGCAAATTCAAATTTAGCAGTGGCGGCTGGCCCATAGGGGGCGCTTGGGCGCTGCCCTCCCAGATGTGAGGGGAATATAAAATATATAAAAATAAAATATATATATATTTTTTTATCAATGTCAGTTTTACTTAATAGTGTCTGCCTACATACAATCTGAATTATTTAAACCCTATTTCCACCAACTGACTCTCATTCAACAGTGAATTTCCACCGACAGATTTCCACCAATCATTTCTCTTCTTGGGCGCTCATCAAAGCCAATTTCGCCCCTGCTACAGAAAAAAGGGAAAGTTTTGGATTGCTCTCAGGTCAGTCAGAGATGATGGCGACGACGACAGTTGAGGGGCAGCTTCTACCGAATTCGGTGAGATCGTTATTGAATTACTCTTTTGCGAGAAGGACGACGGTGGAAAAAATCCACGTTAAGGAGCAGGGACCCGACAAACCCGAAATAACTGTAGCTTTAAATTGTTAATTTACTTTATCTGTGAAACTGCTGATTTTGAGAAGGAAATTAAATTATGATTGTGAAATTGTTGTCATTTTCTGACTGTTCATTTGAACGCTTATACTGGACTAGGAAGGGAAAAATATTGGTACGTCAGCTCCACCAAGATTTTTTTTCACCAGCCGCCACTAAAATTTAGTAATAGAAACATATTAAGAAGTTCAGCAATTAACAATCAGTTTTTAAAATTTTGTACAAGAGGCTTGTTTTCACATGCTTCATGGCTTTAGACATACATTCAGCAGATGTCCAATGCAATGAAAAAAATGAAGAGAATTTGGGGTTAGTTAGTATCCTGCTACCCTCGAAGAGCTGTGATAAGGGCCTTTCCCAAAAACCCAAGAGTGACACAATCACTCTGCTGGCTGCAGGATTTGACTCCACAACCTTCTAGGTTGTGGCGTCAGAAGCATTTTGAAAGTGGGGGGGGGGGACACTGCCATAAAACTAATATTTTATGTTAAATGTGGGGGGGTCCAAAGGAATAATTATGAAATGTGAGGGGGACATGTCCTCCTCAGATTTAATGGCGTCGATGCCCATGTTCTAGACACAGGCACAAATCCTTACCCTGCTGAGCTGCCCACTGCCAAAAGGATAGCCAGCGATTATAATGGAAATTGCTGTCTTTGAATTTGAGACTTCAACAAAAACATAGAAATTTCTGTTCTCCTATTATTATTTTAAAAGAGGCAGTGTAATATGCCAGCACCAGATAAGTTCTTTTTCGCTAAATTTCACAAACGCTTGAATATATTTCAGTTAAATAAGAAAATGAACCTCCAATATATCTTGTGAACTGTTAAAAATATGACCACCCACCTTTTTACTCATGCTGCTGAAGTCTCTGTCCAAATCAATTGTTGTCCAAACCCCACTGTTGCTTTTCTCTGAAATTTTGAATTTTCATTTGATCTCAGCACAGGTGTTTCGCTTCAACAAGATCCCCAAAACTGCAGAACATATGTTAGACTGGATGAATTTTATATTCCCCACCCAACAACTGAACTTCCGCCCAGTGCTGAAAACATACAAGGACCTCCCTGTTCTAAACACACAATCTCACGTCAAATTCAAGCATAGAAAAATGTCCTATCAGTCTACATGTAAAAGCTTTGTGTAAAAAGCTTGTCCATATCTGAGTAAGTCTGATAGTCTGTTTTTATTGGCATTGAGTGGATTTCAGATAGCATTAATTTGGAGTCCAAGGTCATTTATTAACTGTTATTGCCTGTTCCTTACGGAATTGTAAATGAATCGGAAATGTATATTCTAAACATAAATCAGTGAATCTCTTGGTTTGTGTACTTGGTCATCTTGGCATTTTTAAAAACTTTTCTATATATTCTGTATTTCTATATATGGTAAGGTAAATTCTTAAATAAGCTGAGAACAAATGTGTTTTCAAAATGTTGAAAAAAAAATCACACTTTGTGTAGTTTCATAAAACCTATTACGTAGCATAAACGTGTTTAAAAGTGCTCAGACACTATCATTACTGTTCAGAATCTTATTATGCCATTACAGCAGTTTCTTGCGTCAAAGTTTGGGTGTGGTTCAGTTGTTATCAGTGCTGTGAATATTGTACTTGTCAGATTTTTATTTGTGAATACATATCAGATATAAAGAAGCAAGCACTGATAGGATACAGTGTTGAGGTGCGTAGACTTTTAAGAAAGGTCATTATGAATGCATCTTATCAGAGAAAGTGAGAGCAAATACTGCTATCATCACAGTAGACAGCAAAAACGTTTCCCTTCTATTGCCTGAATTTTAATGTTACAGTTGAATATTTGTCTTATAAGTAATAATCATTTAAGTTTGGACATACATATGTGTCATTATTCTGTATTGTATAAGAAAAGGTTTTTAAAAATCATTAAATATAATATGGATATAATGGGGCCCTTTCAAAGTGAAGGTATAATATTGAAGGTCAAACAAAGTACCCAGCTCATAATCTAAACTGAAATCTATTTCAAAAGGCAATCAAGTGATAAATGTGCAGGTTAGCCATGTTAAGACAACCATACCATTTAACTACACAAAAGGTATGAATTTCCTGCTACCACCTACAACCGGTAAATATTTGCATGCATATCAAACAATTGTACTAAGTGCTCTTAGAAAGTGGCCCATGACCAGCAACAGAATGAATGTAGGCACTATCAAGCATTGGATTCTGTGGAAAGAAAAGGGAAGAAAGCTATATTAGGCTATTGGAGAAAAGGCAAGGCCTCTTAGGGATGACCTTGGAGTTCAAGGAATACTCAGAATCAGAATTCACTTTTATTGGCCAGGTACAACTGCATGTACTAAGAATTTGTTTTGGCAGTACTGGTGCTTACATTCACAGCCGTGTAGAATTTAGAAATGGACTTTTGCAAGCTTAAAGTTCTTTAGCTGATGCAAGAAGTGTAGGTGTTGTTGGGCCTTCTTAGTGATAGAGGTGATGTTTGTGTCCAATTTGTTGGATGCTAGTGCCCAAGAAATTTGATGGTTCCAGCTCTAGTAACAGTAGTGTTTCGTATGGCCAAAGGAGATGGTGTTGGGGGGTATTTCCAGAATTCAATGATCATTTCCCTCATTTTTTGCGTATTACTGCATTTTCAGCAATCCAAATGTCCTTTCAATGACAGTAAGTGTTTAATTCTTCTAATTAATTAGAATGTTTTTTTAATGATATGGTTTATTCTCTACTTAATATATATGTTTCCTATGGTTTTTCATTGACCTCTCCTGGAGCCGAGACCTTATCGTGGTGGAGGGGTTTGCGTGTTCCAATGATCCCAGGAGCTAAGTTGCCTGGGGCTTTATGCCCCTGGTAGGGTCACCCAAGGCAAACAGGTCCTGGGTGAGGAACCAGACCAAGTGTGGCTCAAAAGACCCCTTATGATGAGTAAAAACATGGATCTACGTTTTCCCTCGCCCGGACGCGGGTCACTGGGCCCCCCCCCTGTAGCCAGGCCTGGGGGTGGGGCTCGATGGCGAGTGCCTGGTGGCCAGGCCTGCACCCATGGGGCCTGGTCGGGCACAGCCCGAAGAAGGCACGTGGGTCCCCACTCCAATGGGTTCACCACCTGTAGGAGGGGCCAAAGGGGTCGGTTGCAGTGCGAGTTGGGCAGTGGCCGAAGGCGGGGACCTTGGCGGTCTGATCCTCGGCTGCAGAAATTAGTTCTAGGGACATGGAATGCCACCTCTCTGGTGGGGAAGAAGCCTGAGCTGGTACGTGAGACTGTGAGGTTCCGACTAGATGTAGTCGGGCTCACCTCGACGCACGGCTTGGGCTCTGGAACCAGTCTCCTCGAAGGGGGTTGGACCCTCTTTCACTCTTGAGTTGCTCACGGGGAGAGCCGCTGAGCAGGGGTGGGCATACTTATTGCCCCCTGGCTGGGCGCCTGTACATTGGGGTTTACTGCGGTGGACGAGAGGGTAGCCTCCCTTCGCCTTCAGGTGGGGGGACGGGTCCTGACTATTGTTTGTGCTTATGCCCCGAACAGCAGTTCAGAATACCCACCCTTTTTGGAGTCCTTGGAAGGGGTGTTGGAGAACGCTTCTGCCGGGGACTCTCTTGTTCTGCTGGGGGACTTCAATGCTCACGTGAGCAATGACAGTGAGACCTGGAGGGGCGTGATTGGGAGGAACGGCCCCCCTAATCTGAACCCGAGTAGTGTTTTGTTATTGGACTTCTGTGCTCGTCACGGATTGTCCATAATGAACACCATGTTCAAGCATAAGGGTGTCCATATGTGCACTTGGCTCCAGGACACCTTAGGCCGCAGTTCAATGATCGACTTTGTGGTCGTGTAATCGGACTTGCAGCCGCATGTATTGGACACTCAGGTGAGGAGAGGGGCGGAGCTGTCAACCGATCATCACCTGGTGGTGGGTTGGCTCCGCTGGTGGGGGAGGGAGCCGGTCAGACCTGGTAGACCCAAGTGTATAGTGCAGCATCATTTACATTTACATTTACAGCATTTGGCAGACGCCCTTAGCCAGAGCGACTTACATAAGTGCTTTAAGACTCTACAATGAATTTTTCCCAATACTAGCTCAATAAAACCAAGGCTATGAATACCATCGATCTAATACTCTGTTGGAAAAGTGCATTTTTTTATTTTTTATTTTTTTAAAGGAATGCCAGAAAGTATAATGCCAGAAGTGCTAATTCAGATATTTCTGGAAAAGGTGTGTTTTAAGTCGTCTTTTGAAGACATGCAGTGACTCAGCTGTTCGGACATCTAGGGGGAGTTCATTCCACCAACTTGGTGCCAGAACAGAGAAGAGCCGGGAGGTGTGTCTTCCTTGTGCCTTGAGGGGTGGTGGGACCAGTCGGGCAGTGCTGGAAGATCGGAGAGTTCGTGGTGCAGTGCGGGGTGTGATGAGGTCTTTTAGGTAGGATGGAGCCAGATCATTTTTGGCTTTGTATGCGAGCATCAGTGTTTTGAATCTGATGCGGGCAGCCACAGAAAGCCAGTGTAGGGAGCGCAGCAAAGGAGTGGTGTGGGAGAACTTGGGAAGGTTGAAAGTAGTGATGCGGCCGCTGCATCGGTCTGTCATGGTGAAGAAGGAGCTGAGCCAAAAGGCAAAGCTCTCGGTTTACCAGTCTATCTACGTTTCTACCCTCACCTATGGTCATGAGCTGTGGGTAGTGACCAAAAGAACGAAATCGCGAGTACAAGCGGCCGAAATGAGTTTTCTCCGCAGGGTGGCTGGGCTCTCCCTTAGAGATAGGGTGAGGAGCTCAGTCATTCGGGAGAGACTAAGAGTAGAGCCGCTGCTCCTCTGCATTGAGAGGAGCCAGATAAGGTGGCTCAGGCACCCGATCAGGATGCCTCCTGGACGCCTCCCTGGTGAGGTGTTCCAGGCATGTCCCACTGGGAGGAGGCCCCGGGGAAGACCCAGGAGACGCTGGAGAGACTATGTCTCTCGGCTGTCCTGGGAACGCCTCGGAATTCCTCCGGAGGAGCTGGAGGAAGTGGCCGGGGAGAGGGAAGTCTGAGTTTCCCTGCTGAGACTGCTGCCCACACGACCCGACCTCGGATGGATGGATGGATAGTTTTATATTTATACTACAATTATTACTATATACATACATACACATACATAATTACATGTTTATCATGTTTATTATCATTACTGGTACTGTTAAAATGAATTACCATATAATTATCACATTACCCAATTGCCAGTCTAGTGTTTATTACCACCAAGGCAAATTCTGATGTAACTAACCTAACAAACTTTTTTTTTTGTTTTTAACATGTAATAGTATAATGACATCAGAGATTTGTTACCTTTTCCACTGATTTAGTATAAAACAAGGTCACTGGCTCAACCCTAATCTAGTCAGCAAAGTTAGCTGGCAGGCTAGAGAAATACATTGCCCTGCTGTTGTTTATTTCACGTGAAACCTGTTTGTATTTCTTGAGCTTGAGTATCTCATGTGGCAGAACAGATGTCAAGCACCTATAATAAATCTAACTTTAACACAAATTTGATAAACATACTTGTGGAGTAACAACCTTTTGTTGATCCCCGGTATGTAAACCGCGGATTAACTGCAAAGTTTAACTGCAATGATGAGAAAAAGTTTTATTGCTGCTGTCACGTGTTAGAATGAGAGAATCCCCCACGTATGTGTAGGATACAGGGGGAATAATTTTTATTTTCTGTGAGAATGCAATAACAAAAAGAACTGCATGAATGCAATAACATGATAACATGACATATTAAGTGGGCTCTGCCTCCCTCCTTCTCATGACACATGCTGTTCATGCGTTCCTATTGCAACTTTTATTTTTCCCAGATAACTTATTTTGTGATCTTGAGAA